ATTCTCTGTTAATTCACCTGTGATATCGCATGCAACACAAGGCTCCAATTTACTTCATCTATTATAAATAGTGATTTATTTGTCGTAAAGAATGAAAAACTCCATTACGGGGAACTATAGCAGAATACAATAATATCCCTCGAATGATTTCATTCGTTTCGCTGAAGTACAAATAACAATAACTTGAATAAATGACATATAAGTCACGTGACAAATCGCGTTTCATTTTATATCAAATATTTATTAATCTCGGGATGATTCTTTGTGAATTTCACAGTATTTTTATTATAAGAATCAAGCTTTAACACAGCATACAACATTTGACATTCAACAGAGATTTGTGCCTGGAGAGATCGAATCCCTGTAGAATATTAATAGCTTCAACAATAAAGGGGGATTACATTAGATGCATTCTGAAAAAGGTATCGTTTTCTGAAATCACATTATCAGGCAGAATCGATCATTAGACCGAGGTTGTTTGATATTCAAAGTTTTCCTTTATAGAAATTTTGAGTGTTTTTTCCTGAAAAATGTTCCAAATGGTAGTGTTCAACAATGTGTTCCATACAACAAAGTGTTCCTTTCAGCAATAAGTTATTGAATGATTTGAAGGGCAATACATGATATACTGTGCTCGGGAAATTCTGTATTGGCACGAGACAAAGTCGAGTGCCAAAACAGAATATCGATAGCACAAATATCCCGTATTGCACTTCAAATCATTCTATAAAGATTTTATCGTGTGATCGATCTAAGGCCAAAATATCATTTAGAAGATAATCCCTAGGAAATATTCTCTGTATTGCTACTGAGATGATCGATGGGGACATTCTCAGTGGCAATACAGATTGGTACAGCACAAGAACTGACCAATCAGAGTGCTTCATTTTACAGATCATCCGAGAACACAAAGTGTTCGACAATGTTTTATAAAAGGTATTCCTTCCAGCAAAGTTCAATACAACAAAATGTTCAACAATATTCTGGTGACATAAAAAATGGATGAATGCTAATTTAATTAGTCTGTTTACTTTGAGTTGTACCTTGTACTGGATTAAAGTGGTAAGCTTACCTCAGTTATTAATAAAAATTGCGCTCTACTTCATGAAACATCATCTGCAATAATGTTGGCTTCGATTAGATGGAATACAAAGGCACGCTGACAGTGATGTAACATTTGATGATAATAAGGTAGACATACTGGCAGACGCTGATCATAATATATAAGATAGCAAGCATCGATGATACTGTACCTTGATATTTAGTGTAATGGTACCATATGGCACCTACATGTATTTATGCATTAGTTACAGCCACATGGGAAATTTCAAATAACATTTTCAGACATAAGTCAATGTGTGTATATTTTGTTTACAACACACACACGCGCTTTTATGATACTTTACAGAGTTCCTATCCCAAAGAGAAAGTGACGATTTGTTGGGATTTGTTTATATTCTTAGTAGTGAAATAATCGGGGGTCATTACCGTTGCCGGTCCCTACGGTCCCTCAGGTATATATGCATATCTCCCTCTGGATAAACCCCATATCCAAAACCTCCCAGTACATAACCCCTATGTATCCATTATTTAAGCTTTGATAAATGCTTTTTAACTGATTATTGACATGAATGCTTATTAGGTGCAACATTCAGCAGCATCCTCTGCTCACACAAATTACTGTAAATTGGCTTGTTGATAGAGAAATGCTCATTATCAATACGCTCGATCTTGACTCTAAATGTTACATGAGATCTTTATTACGTGCTGCCATCTTTCAATATATGGCATCATAGTATAGTCTTTTACAAACTTTATTAAAGGCTATTCATTTTGATGGTTATAAATGTCAAGAAATCACCGTAATGGTAATGACCACCGATTATTAACCGGGGCGATTTATGGTACGTGCAAGCAAAAATTATATAAATGTTTAAACTGGAAAACCCTAGCGGAGAGAAGAGAAGAAAAACAAAGTATTCACATGTTCAAAGTCCGATCAAATTTGACCCCCTCTTATGTAGTCTCTATATATGAAAAACTGTCCAATCCTGGTGCCGAAAGGGAGCTCCGCTCCAGAAGAGAATATGTTTTACCAGTGAGAGCGTCTGTGAAATACCTAAATTCACCAGCCATAAAGCCTATCTCCATTTGGAAAAATCTCTCAACTGAAATAAAAACATCGCCAACCCTAGCAATCTTCAAGAAAAACTATAATAAGAAATATACATTTCATAAAAAGAATATTTTAACAAAAAATCTTAATTTGAAAAGGTCTTCTGAAACTAAACTTAATAAAATAAGAAGCGACCTTGCCCTTAAAAGTGACTTTTTTAGACATAATTTCAACAACATCATAGATCCTTCATGCCCCTGCGGCCACCGAAATCAAGATAAGATTCATCTTTTACTCGACTGCCCTCTAACCGCCATACATAGAAATGATTACATACAGAACATCCTAAAGTTAGACAATCTTGATATTATGTGCTATTTTGGAAAAACCAGAAAGCAAAAAATAGAATTTATACTTTATGGAGATGAAAATTTAAATAGTGAACTGAATACAAAATGCCTTCAACTATCTTCAAATTATATCGATAACATCTTAGAATGACCATCCTCCTCATTTCACATCATCTCTCATTAACACTCATATACATCATCATGGGCAAGACCTGGTGGACGACCGTCTGTCCGTTGCAATCCTACACACTCCAGTGATTTATTATATGCTTTTAACTTTCTAGAGGGGGGCCAATAATGCTATGTAGCCTCGGCCCCTCACAATCTATGTAAATAATTATGTTGAATATTATAGAAATAAATAACAATAACCTAATAAAAAAAAAAACCACCGATTATTTCACTACTAAGAATATAAACAAATCCCAAACAATATATAATTTCATTAGACCTAACTTGTTATTGTAAAACATAGGATTATGATGTCTTTAAATCAATGTTATTAAAGCCAAACATACACTCCCCTCCATAAGTTTGGCAACCTTAGCTCCCCATTGAACTACGTGTTAAAACCTCTTTACGTTTGAATTTTTATTTACTTAACCGGCGATGAAATAATCTATAATATTGATAGAAACGTAACTTGACTTTATTTCCAATACCTCCAAATTTTCTCAATTTTTACCTCAATTACAATAGGTCGAAAATTGATGATAAATCTGATGAACTTTTGAAATCAGAAAAGACTTAACTTGTTATTGTAAAACATAGGATTATGATGTCTTTAAATCAATGTTAATAAAACCAAACATATATTGTTTGTGTTATTATATTATTTCATTAGACCTTACTTGTTATTGTAAAACATAGGATTATGATGTCTTTAAATCAATGTTAATAAAACCAAACATATATTTTTGTGTTATCCCAACAGATAGGCAATAATGCCATTCGGAATGAATCTAAGATTTCAGCCTAATGCAAAAAGAATAAAGACGAAAAAACTATGACAAAACTTATTAGCATGTACGATAAAAGCGGACAACTACGATTCTTTTAGCTAATTTTTTATCCATGATAACATATATAAAATCCTATTATATAGTATATTCAAATATTATTCTCATTCAATTCTTCATTTACAACGACGAAAATACACTTCATGACTTATACATAAAGGCTTCGTGCTTTAAAATGTTAAGTATCATACATAAAGTTAACTCTAACCGCGGGCCCTATAATATTTCTGATTTCAAGTTACATATTCTGAGGTACATTTTTGATTTTCCAAAACATTCACCCAAACGCTAGATGTTTGAAAAGTATAAGTCTAATGTATTGATAAAGGAATATAAGAGCAGGTATTACATCGACGAATAAATACTGCAGGGCTAGATACAAACGTTTTCGAAAGCTTTTGTACCTAACCCTAAGGTATTCATTACTTTAGCTATATAATACCTGATCTGAGGTCTATATTACGATTCAAACATAAAAACTCACCAAAATATTGCAAATCGTCACTTCATTTCCTACACAGGCAAATTACATAGGACCTCGTACAAGCCCCCACGAGGCTCGTTGAGTCGATGGGCCCTGTACAACCTTGTACGGGACTCACTACGAGTCTCGTAATTGGTAATTGTCGAGCCTCCTAAGAGTGTGTAATTAGAAGGCCCGTAAAAGCTCGTAATTTTCGGCCCCTTGTACTTGACCGTACGGTGCCCGTAACGAGCTCCGTAATAAATCGTAATTTTCGATCCCCGTACTTGCTCGTACGGTGCCTGTTACGAGGCCCGTAATAGCTCGTAATTTTCGAGCCTTGTACTTGCCTGTGTGATGCCCGTAACAAGGCCCCTGTACCTGCCCGTATGGGGCTCGTAACGAGACTCGTAATTGCTCGTTTATTTTGATGAACACTTTTGATCGATGAAATAAAATACAGCATACTTGAGAAATTACATTTCAATAATTATGAATTAAAATGTCTTCAATTATTTCAAATTATTCGCATGTCTGTATCAGCATAAAACAGTTAAAAGCTAGGAAACAAAATAAACAGGAGGGTTACCAACGGGAGACACCACATTTCTCTACAAGGAAAGTAAATGCATTTAAAAACATTTGCTGCGGAATGTTTGAAATGTGATTTAAATAAAAACATGTTGTTATCGAATATATGAATAATGTCTGAAATGATTAGCATATATACATTGTATAACATGTTTAAGTTAGATACGTGAATCATGTAGCATGAAAATAAATGTTTTTATGTGCTGTAAAATGTGCTGTCCGATAACGGGCCTCGTACGAGGTCGTACGGGTCTCGAAATTACGAGCCTCGTGCATGCTCGTATTGGCCTCGAAAACAACAATTATGAACATCGTGCGAGCTCGTTCGGGCTTCGAATACGAGCTCCGTACGAGCCCGTACGAGGATCGTGCTCCTTTTTGCCCGTAATGACTCGTGATTCTGGAGGCTCGTACATGAGGATCGTACGGGGCCCGATGTAATTTGCATGTGTACAGTACCTCTCCAGTTTAGTGTTTAGCTCTTCACGAAAACCTAGGTAAGCTTACAGACCAGGTATCATATCGACGAATAAATACCGGTTGAAATATTGACTTTGTTTAAAGTTCATCATGACAAATATATAATTCATAATGTCTGAATACACATTTACACTCTAAATTCTAATGTAAATATAATTTCGAAACACGTGTCACATATTCAAGGCTACACGCCATGCAGTTAGCCCCAAGTCTCTGATCGATACAGGTCTGCCAAACAATGGTATTACTCTTCCAACTCTCCCTTTGTAGCTGCTGGTAGAGGTCTGTGGAATTCACTGTGACCAGTCAACCAATGCGTTATAACTTTGCCTTTACCCTGCAATGATAAAATGCAATTCATATTATAACATGGTGTAACAGGAATAGCGAGCTTGTGGAACAAAATTTAAATCGAATGACGTCACTCATGTAAAAGCTCCATGGTAGTTCGATAGGCATTTCCCTTCAAAATAAATCAGTTGGATCAAAGGCGTGCTATTTCAAAACATACTTAAATTAACGTAGAACAGTTCGAAAGTTGAGCTACATCACCACAGAACAGTTCGACAGTCGTGCTATGTCAACACAGATCAATTCCATAGTTATGCTGCTCAATGCAACATAGTGCAGTTCGATTGGCATGCTATATTAACGTAGAACACTTCGATTGTCGTGCTACTTCAAAACAGAACAGTTCCATAGTTGTGCTAAATCGAACACAGAACAGTTCGATTCCCATCGTTATGCTAACGTAGAACAGTTCAATATTTATGCTACACCAACACAGAACACTGAGAACAGTTCAATGGTTGTGAAACGTCAACATAGAACAGTACGACAGTCGTGTTAGTCAACACAGAACGGTTCCACAGTTGTGTTAAATCAACACAGAACAGTTCGATTTGCAATGTAGAACAGTTTGATAGTCGTGCTACATCAACACTGAAAAGTTCGATAGTCGCCCTTTATCAACACATCTAACAGTTTGATAGTCGTGCTACATCAGCACTGAAAAGTTCGATATTCGCCCTTTATCAACACAGAACAGTTTGATAGTCGTGCTACATCAAAACTGAAAAGTTCGATAGTCGCCCTTTCACAGCAAAAAATGTGAATCAAACCACTGAATCCTGGAGTCAGGATTCATATGCACATATGAATCCTGTATGAATCCTGCCTCCAGGATTCATACAGGATTCGCTGTTTAAATAGTTTACAAATGAATCCTGCCTTCAGGAATCATACAGGATTCATATGCAATATAGTTTACAAATGAATCCAGCCTTCAGGATTCGTACAGGATTCATATAGAAGGTAGTTTGCAAATGAATCCTGCCTTCAGGAATCATACAGGATTCATATGCAATATAGTTTACAAATGAATCCAGCCTTCGGGATTCGTACAGGATTCATATAGAAGGTAGTTTGCAAATGAATCCTGCCTTCAGGAATCATACAGGATTCATATGCAATATAGTTTACAAATGAATCCAGCCTTCAGGATTCGTACAGGATTCATATAGAAGGTAGTTTGCAAATGAATCCTGTAGCCAGGATTCAAGCAGGATTCATATGCAATATAGTTTACAAATGAATCCAGCCTTCAGGAATCATACAGGAATCAAACGAAAATTGGAATTGATGTGTATGTTTCTATTCTAACACTCACATTGGCGTATCGCATATATTACGCCAAATGCGCACAGGCGTACCAAATGAATTCGAAAAATTTAATAAAAATGTGTAATTATTTAAAAGTTGTTCTGTGTGCTAATTTAAAATACATTGTTTTATTTATATTGTCTTCCCCGAATGGGTATATAAACTTTAAATATACATGTAGCCATGTTTATTGAAAAAAGGACATTGGTTTTATTCGGTCCGTTTTATTCTTATTGGTATTAACTCGCAAATGTCACTACTGGAAATGGTTTTGTGTGGCCATGGCAGGGCAAGAAGGGCCCCCGAGGGTCAAAAGGGGCCGTTCTGTAAGATAACTTCTTCGGACGGGAGGTTTTTTACCACAGACTTACAGAAGTGGTGCCGTTAAAAGAGTTTCTTCTTGGAGAAGGTGCCGCCTAAATGAAACAAAGTGCAATGGCCATTGAGATCGATGCTGTCCCTGTCAGGAGATAATATCAGGCGATGTATATTTGATGATAAACAAACTTGGTGGGCCATCTTGCCCAATGGTTCTTCTTATCCTGGGTCTCTTACTCCGCTCCTACGCCCATTTCTCATTTCTTAATGCTAATATAGAATGCGTCACGTGTTATGAAAGATTAGTAGGCCTCAATATTACAATTTGAACCCGATTTTGAAGCATCCTTCAAGATCGGTCCTTCACTGCTTTCATAGCAGCTCATGAATGTCACAATGCAATGAATTACTCTTGGGCCGCAGGGATGATTTTGAAGCACCCCTGTAAGCCTTTAAATTACATTGAAATGATAGGCCCTAGGATAGATACGATCAATAATTCATTGGGAGTTCGATTTGGTATCTTTGGTGTTTGCTTTGGAATAGCCTAATCCCGGGGGAATAATCACGAATCTCGCGAATCTACCCGGGGAATCTACCTTACGTGAAAGTTAGTTAGCCTACATTCTATTGACAACGTAACATTCATTTGTCATCGTGACCTGCAGGTCATGCGAACCATCAACATGCAATGGTGTATGTTTACAAAAAACTGGAAATCAGGAGTTTTATTAAGACGGGACTTCCCCTTTTTATGTCACCACCAAAAGTGGTCACATATTGTTAAAGTCTCCAACTTTTTTATGTACGGTGTTTAGCGTCTGGGGTCGGCGTTCAGCGTCTGTAACAAATGGCGGGTGGTGACATTTTTCATGTTTATGCCTTGTTTAATATTTAAGGCTCCAAATGAAATATGATATCTGATATCATCATGATGTTATTCTTATTATATTATTCTGTTTTGCAGGTGCCAATGAGTATGACACACAAGCAGTGACAATTGAGTTATAGCCCAGGGAGTTCAAGTTTATGCATCTTGCCTCAAGTAAAGTGTTAGTCCTTAAAGACAGGACTGTTGGGGAAATGGCACAGTTGCTTGATGCAAGAGTAAAACTTTGAAATAACCATAGATAATATTACAATAGATAAAAGTTTGGCATGCATTATTTTTTTTCGTTTCATTATTAGATTTGAGAGCAGGTAGACGTATACAGCAGTGCAGTGAATTATTTTTGTATTTTAAGAAGTTGTTTTTCAGGTGTGACCAGCGATGATTGCAGGCATGAATACACTTTAAATATATTTCCTAACATATTCCTTCAGTAAATACACCCGTTTGCATGTTTTAAATAAGCCGTAAATAAAATGTTTAAACTTTGTTAGCATGGTCTATAATCTACAACGACCGTCAACCTGTTTAGGTTTTGATTTGTTTTGTTGAAATTAGATTAAGAAATTAGTCTTTCAAATGTCACCAGCATGGGCGTAGCCAGGGGGGGGTGCGATGGGTGCGATCGCACCCCCCCCCCCCATAACCTTTGAAAATATGACCATTGGATAGAGGTAGAAAAGAGCTTTAAAATGCTTTTTATTTGAAGCTTCTAGCTCAATTTTGAAGGAAGTTGCATCAATTTTTGTAAAATTCAAAAGAAAACTTAATTTTTTGTGTTGCTTATGGCAAAATCGCACCCCCCCCCCCTGACCGAAAACGAAAACTCTTTAGGGTTGAGGATTCACGTCGGTTTAAATTAGAATAATTCTTTACTATCTGGTTTTGTTTGCTTCATTGTGAAATGTTCATCGAATTGTTATTTTTCGAATCATTTCCATTTCGTTACATAAGTTATTTGGAATAAACTTAATTTCAGCTAAAATGCAGGGTAGTGCATGGCTGTTTTTGAAAATTTTTATTTTAACCTTTTGTTGCTTATCACCGTATTAATTATGAGCACAAGTTTTTATGTTTGTTTATTTGTTTTTATTTCTTATACAAGTACAAGTAAGTTATACATTGCAAGTCACACCCGTAGCAAACCCTACATTGCCTTACAAAGTTAACATGAGCAGTTTCGAGAAACATTAGAATATGGGAGGGGTTCAAGAAGAGACCCGGTGTAAAAGGGTAGGAGGTCAAGACAGTATCTGTTGGAATGTTATATATTTCCCTATCCATTATATGATAGGCGTATGCATGAGTGGAGGGTTGTGGAAATAGGGCCTCGTGAGAGATACATGTACTTGACAGTCAGTAATTGTTTACACCCCCCCCCCTTCCTTGAAATGCTGAACTAATGTGCTTTTTGTTCATTGAAACAATACGAAATCAAAATTGATTAGTTTCCTAATTACAATAAAAACAAACGGCTGATTAGAAGATTACAGTGACTGTTTCCCGTCATTACATAACAATGTTGAAGGTGGGCAAAGGAAATCGAGTCTGTATTGATCTAGTTAATAAGCATGATACGTGATTATAAACGTAGAGTAAAGGAAATGCCAGGATTTTTTTTAGCATTCTCATTGTAATCAGAACTATGTGAATTTATACCATTCGCTTAGACATGCAGTGGCGGATCCAGGAAGCAACAAGGGGGGGGGCCCAAATTTGAGAATACAGAAAAAACCTCCGCGCTTGCGCGGAAAAAATTTTTGGGCCCCTAAAACCGAAAAAGTGGGCCCAAATTTTGAAAATTTGAGGCCCATTTTCTTCAAAATTTGGCCTAAATTAAAAAAATAAGGCCTTAGAAGGCCTAATAATGACCAAAAGGCCCACTTTTTGGGGCCTTAAGGCCTTTTTTGGCCTAAAAATTTTTTGGGCCCAACTTCTTTTTTTTTTGGGCCAACCTTAGGGGGGGGGGGCCCGGGCCCCATGGGCCCCCCCCCCGGATCCGCCATAGGACATGGGCTAAAATTTTGATTCTTTTCAGCCTAATATTCTATCCAACAGCATTAAATGATCAAACTCAATTATTTAGTAAAACTTCAATAAGGGATCACGTGAATTTCGATACAGCGGTAAATGAAAGTTTTATGCTTATTATGCGGGAACTATGAAATATTAGATTTAATTACCTAGGTACCGTATTCGAGGGGACATTTTATCCTTTTTAGATTTTATATCGATTTTGACATTTTTGGCCTCTGGCTATGAAATATGTCTCTGATATTTATGTATTTCCCGAGAGAAAATTGGACATTTGCGGGGCCTGATGCAAGACTAGTTATCTGTTTTCCTGGCTTGTTTGAAATGGATAAACTTTGTCGTATGTTTCAATGAAGCCCATGTGGGACTGTAGACCTAGAAATTCATATTTATATACTATAGATCGAGATAGAATAGTAATACAAAATATAGTA